GCTGTTTAATAGGTGAGCACTCTCCCCCTTCTTGGGCATGGTGGTGATTCTGAGCACTGCTAGCTCTGTGTCTTAAAAATGTCACCACATCTCTGTGAGCCTCAGCTCGCTCTTCTGAAAAGTGGGGTAGGGGCTAGAGGATAAACCTCATAAGGTTCTTGCAGAGACTACTGTAGGGATGAGCCATGGCAGGTGTTAACCTGCTGCCTGGCTCTGCTGAAAGGGCTGCTGGATGGGCTATAGTTGTTCATGCCCATTATTTATCTGTCCCCCATGAAAAGTCATCTGCCTGACCCATCAGTGGCCTGTGGCATTTCTGTTTTTTCATTTTATTTTATTCTGTTAGTTTTTATATTTTCCTTGGCCTGTGGCATTTCTGAGTTTGCAAAAGCACGTGGAAAACAACCAGTCAAGGAGTTCAGGAATCCACTTAGCAGATCCCTGTCCTCATCATTGGTGTTGGCAGACTAGGGAGAGCAGGGGGCCACAGGCCCACTCATATATCTGGGATGGTTCTCGTTGGAGTTCATGTATTCGACAATGTGTATTAAACACCTACCACAAGTAGGCACTTTTGGAGACACTTAGCATAACTTGGAAAATGAAGGAGACACAATCCCTGGGCCCCAGTTCCACTCGGTGAATCAGACAGTGACACTGTCCATCACTCTCAGGTCCCGTCCCCCACCCATCAGATCTGATGCCATCAAGGTCTTCTCCACATCTGGAGGCATACCTCCTCATAATGACCAGGGTGACACACCACAGGGCCAAGTCAAAAAGCGGGTGGTCTTTGGGTCCAGAAGGAGGGCCTCCTGAGTCCACAGGATGAAGGCAATGCGTGGAGAGGGCCTGGCAGAACCACGATCTTACACATCTTCTCATTCCCAAGGGAGGCCTAAGCCCTGATGGCTTCTATTCTGGGAGGACAGGGGTCAAAGAGGACTGTGGATGGGCCCCTGGCCTCACAAGACCTAAGAAGAGGGGTGGGCTGAATTGTCCCCGAGACCCAAACCTACCCCAGTCCCATCCTGCTCTGCCTGCCCCTCTCCACAATCATCTCTCCTGACCACCAACACCAGGCTCAAAATGGCCTGCTCACACATCTGTCTCAACCCTCAGTGCAGATGCCCAGGTGTATGGAGGGCTGGGCTGGGCAGGGGACAAGACATTCAGAACTGTCAATGGGAAGAAAAGACTCACACAGATGCCGTGTGAAAGTTGCTTAATCACCAGGCCTGCTGCTCTCAGAACAGCCACTAAGGGGTCGGGGCTGGCATGGAGCTGTCCCCTAGATGGGCAGGGGCAGGCACAGAGGTCTGGTCCCAAACAAGGGTGCCCTGGGAGGGCTGTGTGTAAGCAAAGACCAAGATTCTGACTCCGCTGCCTACCCACCTCTCCCCAGAGCCATTGCTTCTACGGTGGGAACCTGGCCCGACCAGGTGCAGGGTTTTGGCCGGGCTCTCCACTTCCCCTGGTTCCAGCTGAAGCAAGCCTCAGTGCAGGCCAACTTCCCTGCCCCGCACCACGCGGGCCACGCCCATCTCCTTTGGATGGAGCTGGAGCATCTAGAGCCCACCAAGGCCATGCTGGAAGGTGAGGGAAACGCATTCTGAGAAGGTGATCTGGGGAAGGGAGATTCATGGGCCGCAGTGCCCTTATAGGCAGTGGCATCTTTCCTGTCTTTGGCAAGGCACGGAACGTCAGGTCTGTGTGTGAATCTGTCCATTTCTCCTGCTCCAGGTCCACCTCCAGGGCTCCAGAGCACCCCAGAGCCAGAGGAAGGGCCTGCTCAGGGGCCAGTGGCTGGTCCAGCCAGAGGCCCCTCCCTGGCCTGGCCAGGCATGAAGTTGTACCCAAAGTCGTCATGGAGGCGTCTTTTTGAACCTTATTTTTTTCTGTCTTAAAAATTCTAGCCGAAACTGGTTTGGCTCAGTGGATAGAGCGTCGGCCTGTGGACTGAAAGGTCCCAGGTTCGATTCCGGTCAAGGGCATGTACCTGGGTTTCGGGTACATCCCCAGTAGGAGATGTGCAGGAGGCAGCTGATCGATGTTTCTCTCTCATCGATGTTTCTAACTCTCTATCTCTCTCCCTTCCTCTCTGTAAAAAATCAATAAAATATATTTAAAAAAAAAATCTAAGCAATTATCCTAAATATATAGACAAATAAGAGGAATACACCCCAACAGTATATGTATAATAGCCAAAAACAATAGTTTCTATTAAATGAATTATATACCATTAAATGAAATACTTTGGAACAAATAGAAATAAAGTTATTGATTAAAAATATCTGTAGACAATACCTGCTCATATACATATGCATAATAAATAATAATTGTGCATTTATTATGTGTAACCATTATAAATATGGAAGGATACATTTTTAAATCACTTCTCAAACAGATTTAAATTTTGTGATAAGTAAACAAATATAAACTGATAAAATAGAGAAATAAAATTTGGAAATGTATCCACCACAATGTCAACACTTGTGAACTCTTGCAAGAGGAACTACTAGAAGTGACTGGCTCTTCCCTTTTTGCTCAGTCTGTTTTCTGGTTTTTGTATGAGGATCATATATTCATTACTAGATATTTCAAGACTAACTATTTATATAGAAGACACTTTAAGAGTTTTTGAATTATCTCACCAATATTGTCTTTCTAAATTTTCCCCACTGCTGTTTGAGATCTTGAAATGATCTCATCAAAAGCAAAACTAACTTAATGAGCTACATTCTACTTCCCTCTGTGTTTAGTTTGATTTGCTATCTGAGCACTGAGAGCCACTAGGCTGGCTAATAATATTTAAAATCACTAGGGATAGAAAAAGCATTGCTTTGGTTGTAACTGAAATAATGCAAAAGAGCTCTCTCCACTGAACACTTAATCGTTTTATGTTTCCTTCTTGAGCCCAGAATTGAACATACCGGTCAAATCAACTGAGGAACAGGCAATGGTTGCACTGGGACAGGATGGTATGAAAACAAGGAAAACCTTCCTAGTCCTACCTGAAGGGCCACAGCTCACTGACACAACTGAAACAACCTATAATTAAAATTAAACCCAACATGTCAACAATTTTTAAGCCAAAATAAAAAAATGAGAATTCGATCTGTAGCAATATTTCACAAAGAAAGCTTGCTGTGTAAGATGAAGTCACATCATGTCAATCCATACAAACATGTGGCTGAATACCCATAGGCGTTCATTCTCATGTTAATACTCTTGCTCTGAGGGGAGACACATTTTCTAGCTTTTGATTTCTATTTGGTTTGAATGAAAACCAGCTGGTCTATAAACCAAGCCAACACTCCCCAGGTATCCACCAAGGGAAACCGAAAGGTCGACACTAACTGAATTTTAAGTTTTACTTCATTTTAGTTCATGTAAATTTAATTTTAAGAAGTTTTATGTAGCTAGTGGTAATCATATTGGAGAGAGTAGTTAAAGATACTAGCAAATAGGTTGAAAATAGGCATCCCTGAATGTCAGGATACCTTTCCTTCTCAAGTCCACACAGAAGACATTTACAGGACCATTAGCGCCCATCGTATAAACAGGAAGACCACTTTCCCACGGCCATTCCCTGACGTCCTCATGGGCAGAGGCAGCCTCCTTCAGTAGCAGTTCGGTGCTCAACTGCCCATGTCCCTCACAGTTGGGACACCTGTGGTCATGGGCTTGTGAAAGAGTCTCAGAGATGATTTCCAAGACAATTTTTTCCTCCCTGAGAAAAAGAACAATAATAAAGAGAAGACTTATTTCCTTTCTTTGATGCTGGGTGCTGTGCCACCTTCCTGTTGTTGGCAGCTATATTGTGACCATGAGTGAATAGTGAAGAGAATGAGCAGCTGAATTCAATCCTAGATCCTACCTATGGGTTTGTTACTTTGTAAGAAAAACAAATCCCTCCTGTGAAAGATACTTTCATCAGGATTTCCTTGCTTAAAATCCTCAGCTTCCACAATGAATGAGATACTTACAACTCCTGAATGTGGGCAAGGTTGTATCATTTCGTGGTATTGCAAGAAATGGGTAAATGTGGGAGCAGAGAGGACAAGGAAAGATGGGAGATGTTTAAAAGAAGTATCTACAGTCTTCCAACTATTCCAGAGGGCAACTCTGGACACAAGGCATGACACAGCTCTAAGCTGTGGTAGGAAAGTATGATGCCAATGAGGATCTCAAAGTGTGACCAGAAGAAAGCAGTGAAGGAGGAACAAGACTGGAAAAATAAGCAAAGGTCAGTATATGGAGGGCCTGGAGGGATATGCTAAGGATTTTGGACTTCTAAAGGCCATAGAAAACCACTGTCAGTTTTAAATAAAACACATGATCATATTTACATTTTCAAATATCTTTCGGGCTGCAGGTAGAGTAGAGAATAGTTTGGAATGGGGCAATACTAGAGGTTGACAGATCAGACAGAACACATCCTCTCAAGAGACCATGATGTCAACATGACTTAGGACTCTCAATTCTAACTCTGACATGGGGGAAAGAGTGAATTACTCTAACAGCAATTCCTGCACCTTTCCTTAGCACAGAGAATCCTAATCAGAATCAAGTCAACACCTGTGGGAACCAGCCACCTCACATTCACTCCAGGGTCAAACCTGCACTGACCTTGATTTGTTTGCCTGAGAAACCAACAGGCTTCAGAGAGCTTGCCTTGGGGTGCCGGCCACAGTAAACACACACACACACACATACACACACACACACACACACACACTGATGAGGACTCTAAGTTGGCTCCTCCCTCCCAGCTAAGCAGAGTAAACAAAGATAGGGTAACCCCCAAAGTTGGCTTAAGAGACTAAAAAATTCCTCTCAGGGAACAGATGACCTCAGGCAAGCAGCCCCTCTTCCCAGTTCCATACTGATAGAGACAAACCCGCCAAGTGCAAAACCTGTGCCCCACTCCCACCCCCTCTCCTACCTACCCACACCCACTGTACCACAAAACATCCTGAGACAGCTCAAGAACATACCTATTCACTGCACAGTATGGACAATCGGAGAACTACTTCCGGTTCCCAGCACTTGGTCTTTCTGCCTGAAAAGGGGAGGAGAAATAAACAAATTTAATAATACCGTCTTTTATTCCCTCTTCAGCCAGCTTCCTAGAGCTATAGAATTATTATGAACATTAACTCACCAACCAGGGTGCAAGGCAAGTACCGTGCCCATTTTACAGAAACAGAACCACTGAACCTCACAGCTGGTCTTTATTTCAGTGCCCAGTGGCAATTTGTCCACAGAGCCCTCCTCCTTTCACCTCTTACACTGACATCACCATGTCCTCGTATTGAAAGATACATGGAGCAGGTTAAAAAATGTGAAGAGTTAATTTGAGCAAACACTGATTCCAACTGGGTAGCATCCAATCTAGCAGATAGAAAGGAACTGTAAAAATGAAAGATTTGCACATACTTTCCTCTAAGGCAGTGGTTCTCAACCTTCCTAATGCCGCAACCCTTTAATACAGTTCCTCATGTTGTGGTGACCCCCAATTTCATTGTTACAAATTAAACATAATTAAAGCATAGTGATTAATCACAAAAACAACATGTAATTATATATGTGCTTTCCGATGGTCTTAGGCGACCCCTGTGAAAGGATCGTTTGACCCCCAAAGGGTCACGACCCACAGGTTGAGAACCGCTGCTCTAAGGGATGGCAGGGTGTATCAGACAGATTATGCAACTAGTACTGACCAGGTGATTCCTGATGGACTCATTTAAGATTCCATTTCTGGAAGAGCCAAAACTGTAATTAAGTCTCAGTTTGGTGATGTAGGGCTTAGCATCAGTGACTCCATTTTGGGCCTGTTGTCTAATATTTAACACTGTCCATCCTATCAGACAAAAGGCTTGGCTCACTTACAACTCACAGCAACTCAAGTTGGCCTCCAAATAATGGCCTGCAGATGAGCACTGAATGCTCCCTGACCTGCCCCTGGGAAGGGCGATCAGAAAGGAACAGATCTAAGACAAAACAACAGAGTCTAGATCAGCGGTTCTCAACCTGTAGGTCGTGACCCTTTGGGGGTCAAAGGACCCTTTCACAGGGGTCGCCTAAGACCATCGGAAAGCACATATATAATTACATGTTGTTTTTGTGATTAATCACTATGCTTTAATTATGTTCAATTTGTAACAATGAAATTGGGGGTCACCACAACATGAGGAACTGTATTAAAGGGTTGTGGCATTAGGAAGGTTGAGAACCACTGGTCTAGATGCAGCCAAAGAGCAGAAAGCAGAGGTTTCTGGCTCCCATGCCTTTCACAAAAGCTTAATATCTAAAAGACAGGGGACTGACCACAGATACCTTCACTTTGGTGGCATCACAGGGAACCTGAGGGACATATCCAGGCCACCATCTAGAGCTCCCAAAGAGTCAACAGCGGAAGGGAGAGTCTGAAGTAACTGTGAAATAGTAAATTATATCAGGTTCTGTCCAGTTTCTGCCAATGGGTCCACGTTTTGCATAAGCCTGCCTCAGAGAATCTGAAAAAAGGGGGAAGCCTTAATTAGGAACATGAGAAAGTCTTCATATACAATAGGAAGGAATTGTAAAGATGTAGAACACTTCCTGAGTGCAAAGGACAAGAAATAGGCATCACACTTCTGAGCCTGCCTCTTAACAAAGGGGAAGGTGCCTATGAGTAGACCAGGTGCAGAGTAGAAGCCAGCTGAGGTCAGTTAAACCACAAACAGCACAACAAGGTCAGGACACCAACACTCAGGAACTAAGGTGGAGCTCAGTTCCTCAGCAATTTCCTGGGAGCAATCTCCTGCCAGTCTAAGGCAAAATGGCAAAAAAACCAAAGGAGCAGCTACCATTTCTGAAGCATCTTCCAAGAAGATTTATAAATGTTATAAGTCACATCTCACAACAACCCCTTGTGATCTCAAGGCCCATTAAACCCATTTTAGAAACCAATTCAACACTATAAGAAAAACTTAAGACTTAGAAATGAGCAAAA